GCTGCCCAGAGGAAACAGAGACCCCTAGGGGAATGTTATGAGAAAACTCATATAGAACATAGAACATAGAACATCACAGCGCAGTACAGGCCCTTCGGTACTTGATGTTGCGCCGACCTGTGAAACCAATCTGAAGCCCATCTAACCTAAACTATTCCATTATCATCCATATGTTTATCCAATGACCATTTAAATGCCCTTAAAGTTGGCGAGTCTACTACATTTACAGGCAGGGCATTCCACGCCTTTACTACTCTCTGAGTAAAGAACCTACCTCTGACATCTGTCCTATATCTATCACCCCTCAATTTAAAGCTATGTCCCCTCATGCTAGCCATCACCATCCGAGGAAAAAGGCTCCCACTGTCCACCCTATCTAATCCTCTGATCATCTTGTATGTCTCTATTAAGTCACCTCTTAACCTTCTTCTCTCTAACGAAACCAGCCTCAAGTCCCTCAGCCTTTCCTCATAAGACCTTCCCTCCATATTAGGCAACATCCTGGTAAATCTCCTCTGCACCCTTTCCAATGCTTCCACATTCTTCCTATAATGCGGCGACCGGAACTGTACGCAATAGTCCAAGTGCAGCTGAACCAGAGTTTTGTACAGCTGCAACATGACCTCATGGCTCTGAAACTCAATCCCTCTACCAATAAAACCTAACACACCATATGCCTTCTTAACAACGCTATCAACCTGGGTAGCAACTTTCAGTGATCTATGCACATGGACACCGAGATCTCTCTGCTCATCCACACGACCAAGAATCTTACCATTAGCCCAGTACTCTGTATTCCTGTTACTCCTTCCAAAGTGAATCACCTCACACTTTTCCGCATTAAACTCCATTTGCCACCTCTCAGCCCAGCTCTGCAGCTTATCTATGTCCCTCTGTAACCTGCAACATCCTTCCGCACTATCCACAACTCCACCGACTTTGGTGTCATCCGCAAATTTACTAACCCATCCTTCTACGCCCTCATCCAGGTCATTTATAAAAATGACAAACAGCAGTGGCACCAAAACAGATCCTTGAGGTACACCACGAGTAACTGAACTCCAGGATGAACATTTCCCATCAACCACCACCCTCTGTCTTCTTACAGCTAGCCAGTTTCTGATCCACACCGCTAAATCACCCTCAATCCCATGCCTCCGTATTTTCTGCAATAGCCTACCATGGGGAACCTTATCAAACGCTTTACTGAAATCCATATACACCACATCAACTGCTTTACCCTCATCCACCTGTTTGGTCAAATAAGGTTTGTGAGGCACGACCTACCCTTCACTTGAATTAAGATCTTGTAGTAAAGGGGTCTTGGGGAAAATTTATAATCATAGAGCCATAGAGTCATACAGTATGGAAACAGACCCTTCAGTCCAATCAGTTCATGCCAAACAAAATCCCAAATGAAGCTAGTCCCACCTGCCTGCTCCTGCTTCATGTCCCTCCAAACCTCTCCTTTTCATGTACTTGTCCAAATGTCTTTTAAACGCTGTAATTGTGTCCACATCCACCACTTCCTCACGACATTCATTCCACACACGAAACACCTTCAGTGTAAAAAAAATTACCACTCACATCTTTTCAAAATTTCTCTCCTCACACCTTAAAAATGTGACCCCTAGTCTTGAAACCCCATCCTGGGGGAAAGACACTACCACTAATCCTATCTATACTCCTCATGATTTGTAAACTTCTATCAGGTCACCTCTTAAATCACGATATGGCAGAATTTTGTAAAGCGTTTGAAAATGATTTTGTTAAATTCCAAGATTAAGGTCTTGCATCTAAATGGAACAACTTACACAGGTATGAGGGCTATGTTGTTTAAGGCAGATTAGAAAAGTAAATAGGATATGATTGTAGACAAGCCACGGCTAGATCAAAATAAATAATTTGCAAGAAATGCACATTCCTTTAAGGCAAACATGAGGAGTCAGGGATACTATTAGATAAAAGGAAGAGACTTAAAAATGTTGATAAATAGAGAGCAAACCTGTGGATTTGGAGGATTCTAGAGTCACGGAAGTATTATAGCACAGAAGAAGGCTATTCAGCCCATTGTGCCTGCACAAGCTTGTTAAATGGGCAAATTCAACAGAAGAAGAGCATAAACTTGAGACCAAACTAGAAAGAGGCCTCAAAACAAGTTGCAAACATTTCTATACATATGTAGATGGACAGAGATTAGTAAAAGTAAAGATGGGTCAATTAGAGGTAGAGAAAAATAAAATTATAATATGGAATGGAAATAGAAAATAACTAAATAAATACTTAATACTGATTCATGGAACAATGCACAAAAGAACTGGAAACAAAATATGTTGTGTCAAACTCAGAGTTATCCAAAAACTGGATAATTTCAGGATACCCAATACACTTATGCAAAAAATATTCTCAATTAAAATGAATTTACCTGGGCAATGGTGCCAAAGTTATATTCTGTTTTGCTTGTGCAACAAGCTACTGTGCTCTAAGCTACCCTTGACCCCACCCAATCCAGACTGGCCCAAACCCCCCAATGCCCAAAGCGGCCAATCTGAAATCTGGCAAAATCCAGAATCCGACACTGCTCTGTCTTGGGGACGAAGAGAAGAAGACATGGTATTACTGGCCAGTTACCTAAGCATTATTCATAGTGAAAATGTTGGAATGTAATTTTAGGAATATTGTAACATGACATTTAGAAAATCATAACAGAATTAAAGACAATCAGCACAGATTTAAGAGAGGGAAATTGTGTTTGACGAATCTGTTTTATTTGAGGATGCAACTATTAGGACTTATAAGTGCAAACTATATTAGTATTTGAATTGTCAAAAAGCATATGATATGGTATCATACATGAGCATATTACACAAAATTAGGACTCAATTGAGGATTGGTTAATGAACTCAAAGCAGACAACAGGAATAAACAAGATATTTTTGAGCTGACAGGCTATAACCAGTTGTGAAATGCAAGGATCTGTATTTGAAACTTAGCTGTTTACAGTCTATATTAATAACTTAAGATGATGGGCTGATTTTATAATATTCAAATTTGCGAATGATCCAAAATTAGCTGGGAAATAATCAGTGAGAAGTGCATTAGAGTTTTCAGGGGATATGGAAACATTGGCTGAGTGGACAAAAAGAGGAAAAAACTTTCAATTATTTTAGCACTTCATGACCATTGACATGTCAAAATCTGAATTATTTTGAATTATAGTTGCTGCTATAATGTAGTAAGTATAGCAGCCAGGTTACACATAATGAATTCACAAGCAGTAATGTGATAACAACCAGCTAGTCTTCTTTTTGTGACAAAAACAGAAGATGCTGGAGGAACTCAGAAGATCTGACAACATCTGTGGAGAGAAAGCAGAGTTAATGTTTTGGATCAAGTAACCCTGCTTCAGAACTGATTGAAGCGAGGAAAAGATTGGCATAAAAGTGGAAGGTGGAATGGGGATAGGAAGAAATGATAGGTGGAGATGGAGTCCAGAGAGAGAAAGAATAGCGCTTGGGCAGATAAAGGAATGGGCAAATGGCCAGCCTGGGAGAATCTATAGCTGCTAATGGGACTATTAATAGCTGACAGTGGGTTGGTTGTGGAAGCAGTCCATGTGTTGACAAGGCCTGCTGTTTGGGGGAGTTCAGTGAAGAACATGGAAGTAGGTGCTCAGGCCCTAAAATTATTGAACATGATATCGAGCCCAGAAGGGGAGGAGTATGGTGGCTCAGTGGTTAGCACTGCTGCCTCACAGCACCAGGGACCCAGGTTCAATTCCACCCTTGAGCAACTGCATGTGGAGTTTGCACATTCTCCCCGTGGTGCGTGGGTTTCTTCCAGGTGCTCTGGTTTCCTCCCACAGTCCAAAGATGTGCAAGCTAGATGGATTGGCTATGCTAAATTTGCCCATAGTGTTCAGGGATGTGTAGATCAGGTGGGTTATACAGGGATGGGTCTGGGTAGTCTCTGAGGGTCAGTGTGGACTTGTTGGGCCAAAGGGCCTGTTTCCACACTGTAGGGTTTCTATGATGCTTGTTTCTATGAAGGCTGCAGGGTTTCCATGTAGAAAATGAGATTTTGCTCTTGCAGTTTGTGCTGAGCTTCTCTTTGTGATGTTGATTGGGGCTTAAACGTGGGCCAGAACTCCACAGATAACTCTTCTGCTCTTCTTTGAAATAATGCCATGGGACCTTTTACTGTACGTGCCGGAAGATGGGACCTTGAATTAAGATTTCATCTGGAAGATGGTGCCTCCTACATTGAAGTGCTCCTTCAGTGCTGCACTGAACTGTCACCCTTCATTTTCGTGCTGAAGTTCTGGAATGGAACTTGAAGCCAGAACCTTGTGGTTAGAGTGGTACCAGCTTCTCCATGGCTAACATATAAAAACAAATTAAGACAGTGATGGGAACACGGATCCGTATGCAATCCATAGTAGCAGACTTGTTTTTTCTAATGTGGTCTGTACAGTGATCTAGATTTAATGGTAAGCAAATGTACTATGCACCCAAATTTTTATGATAATCCACCAAAAATTCCATTATATCCATAAACATGGCTGATATCTCTATTTAAAAAAATTTGTGTAGCTACTTGTGAAAATAAAAAGTACACTTTCTTGGTGCTCATTAATAACTTCTGATGAATAAATAGTATGAGTTGTGCTTTTTTTTCTTGTCTGAGATAAGTCCTCAATTTTGTTAAGCTTTGTTCAAAATTTCATGGAGCAAAATGCCTTTAATCTTTTCCGATTGAGGGAAGCAGTATATTCATAGTGACCTAAATATGTGAACTGGTCTAAATATGTGAACTGGCTAGGAGTTGTCTTCGTTTGGAAGTGTCTCCGAATAAATAGCAACAGACATCCCAAATTAGACCATGGATCGAGCCACAATCACATCACAGGCTGAAAGGATAAATGTCCCCACTCGGCCCGACCATTCATAGCCACACCCCCCCCAAGCCCCGCCCAGGCCCCGGGAGGCCCTCCAACCCCGCCCCCGCGGTGCCTGCGCTTTGGATCATCATCTCGCGAGAGGCAGTTTGAAATTTCTGGCGGTTGTTGTTGGCGGCTCGCGCTGAGATCGGGTAAACAAAAAGGGCTGCTTTGTGGCAGAGAGGACTCGAGAGAATCATAGACAGCTAGAGAGGTGAGACCGCGAGAGGTGGGGGAGATATCGGGGAGGGGTAAGGCTGGGGAGTAGGTGATGGTGGTCGGTGGTGGAGGAGGTAAAGGTGGGGGAGGGGGTGAGGGCGGTCGGTTGAGGGGGTGAGTGATGGTGGGGGAGGCAGCAGTGTTGGGGTGGGGAGGAATGGGGAACCGAAGGTGACTCTGAGGTGGGGTTGGGGACGATTGGGTAGCTGTAGTTCCGACAGGGTTGGGTGGTGGTATGAGTGATCATCAGTGATCATCAAGGGTTAGGCAGGATATTTTTAGTCCTAGGTCTTGTGTTTTCTGTCAGGCTTCAGTAAGGAGGATCACTCAAGAACTTAAGGGAATTTATGACTTACATCCCTGCCTTCGTGATTTGTCACAGTGAAGCTTTGAAAACTTGGAGCAAATCTATCTTCTCAGTAGCAACACTGACTAGGACATCTCCAATTATTGGGCCATTAACTGGTTGGGGCATCCATTCTAATCTGATCCCATACATTGTCACTTCACTACTAGTTGGAAGATCTACAGTCTGAATCAAAGTTTCTCCTAACTAATACTTTTTCTAAATTGCACGAGTCCTACGAATGCTTATCACTCATGGGGCTGGTGGGGACATTTGTCCTGTGGAGTGGCATGGTGGCTCAGTGGTTAGCACTGCTGCCTCACGGCTCCAGGACCTGGGTTTTGTGTGGAGTTTGCATATTCTCCCTGTGTCTGTGTAGGTTTCCTCCCACAGTCCAAAGATGTCCAGGTTAAGTAAAATAGCCATGCTAAATTGCCCATAGTGTCCGGGGGGTGTGTAGGTGAGGTAGATTAACCATGGGAAATGCAGAGTTACAACAATAGGGTAGGGTGGGGCAGGTCCAAGTGGGATCCTCTTCGGAGAGTCGGTGTGGACTTGATGGACAGAATAACCTGCTTCCAAGCTGTAGGGATTCTATGATTCATCATTTTCAAAACTGAATAAACCTTTTTAACAGTTGGAATTAGTACTGCTTTGAAAAATCCTGTTGGACAGTAATTTATGATTCAATAAATTATATTGTCTGTTTCAGATTTTTTTCCATATAAATGGGTACGCAAAAAGATCAAATGCTCCAAATTCAACAAGCCTTTGAAAAGGCCCAGAAAGGACATCAAAATCTTGCAAAGTTGGTGGCAGGTCTTAAACAAATATACAATCAGGTACAGTGAATTGCATAGTATCTAGACAAGACTGCAGTATATCAAATTTCCTTACCAGAAATTGTATTTGTTGTATTTTAAGTCTGGATTGATCACTTCAAAGTGAATTTAAACAATTTGCATTGGAATTTTAATGTAAATCAGAAACAATATCTAGGAAACTGTATTCAACATTTTCTTTTATTCTGACACCTAGCTAGAAACAGATGCTTCCAATCCCTTATCTGTATTTATTGTTAATCCATTCTCTGATTTTTGCCTCCAATTGCTAACAATTTGTGCTCAAGTAGTAGCCTTTTATTTGGAGTTTCATTCAGGGGATCTTTCACACAGTACTTAACATGATCTCTTCAAACAAAAAGTCAGACTGACCTGACAGGCTTTTCTGCATCAGTATTCAAGTTGGCTGTGATTGATAAGGTTCTTGTCACAGTTTCAACTGGGCTTAGAAGGTAGCATTATGGTCCAAATTAGAAGGTTATGCATGCCAGCCATGTTACAGAAATGAGTCCTCATTTGTAACTGTTGGGACACTCCAAGGATAAAATAAGATGCCATTTAATTTCTAGGTGGTGATTGTGAATATTCTTGAATGTTTTTGAATCTGTCATTTTATCCAGTGGCCAGTTTTGCTGGCTTCTTTCGAAAATTATTCCTGAAATTACTTAGTCTAGTTTAAGTTTTGCATTGACCCTGGACTTGTAATAGCTATCAACCTCCACGCATCCCATCTCTTCTTATTTAGAATAAGTACCATAATCTCTGACAATTAACTTTGAGGCTTTTTGCCATGATGTTTTAGTCTCCTTACTTGAAAACGGATGTACTGGCACTGGGGGGGTGCAGAGGAGGTTCACTAGGTTGATTCTGGAATTGAGAGTGTTGGCTTATGAGGAGAGATTGTGTAGACTGGGACTGTACTCATTGTACTCAATTTAGAAGAATGAGGGGGCATCTTATACAAATATATAAAGTTATGAAGGGAGTAGATAAGATAGAAGCAGGGAGGTTGTTTCCATTGGCAGGTGGAACAAGAACCGGGGGACATAGCCTCCAAATAAGGGGGAGCAGATTTTGGACTGTGTTGAGGAAGAACTTCATCACCCAAAGGGTTGTGACTCTGTGGAATTCCCTGTCCAGTGAAGCAGTTGCGGCTACCTCCTTGAATGTTTTTAAGGTGAAGATAGATAAATTTTTGAACAGTAAAGGAATTGAGGGTTTTGGTCAGTGGGCTGGTAAGTGGAGCTGAGTCCATGAGAAGATCAGCCATGATTTTATTGAATGGCGGAGCGGGCTTGATGGGCCAGATGGCCTACTCGTACGCCTATTTCTTATGTTCTTGTGTTCATATGGAATGCTGTTCTTCATTGGCAGATATATAGAATACAAAAGTGGGGATATAATGATGAAACTGCAAGTGTTTTTTTTAACTCTTAATCCACCATAATGGAAGTAGGTCTTATGTTTTTTTTTTAAAAAGAGAAAATCACTTTTTGAGCTTTTCTTGAAGCACTGTTGAGGCCACAACTGGAGTATTGTGTGCAGTTCTGGTCACCACATTACGGGAAGGATGCATTTGGAGAGAGTGCAGAAAAAAGTTTACTAGAATGTTGCCAGGGTTGGAGAGTTGTAGTTACAAGGAGAGATTGGAGAGGTTGGGATTATTTTCCTTGGAACATAGATATACAAAATTGAGGGTACGGAGAGAGAGTAGACAAGGGGAACCTGCTTCTCTTGGCAGAGCGTTCAAAAACCAGGAGTCATAGTTTCAAGCTGAGTGGATAAAGAGGCAGCGTGAGGAAAAAGTTCTTTTTACACAGAGGGTGATGGGTGTCTGGAATTTGCTGCCTGAGTTGGTGGTAGAAGCAGAGATCCTAAACTCTTCTTAAAAACACCTGGGTCTGTACCTTAAGTGCTGTAAGCTCCAGACTATGGGCCGTGTGTAGGAAGATGGGATTAGAAAGGGTATCTTGGTGTTTTTTGGCATGGACAAATGGCCCCTTTCTGTGCTCTATCATTTCTATAGTTCTAAACTCTATATTAATATGGCAAATTATACTTCAACTGCAGGATGAAGATAAAAATATGTTTCATGAAGAATTTATCAATTTATTGAAGTATCCCATGACTATTTACAAGCGAGAGCCAGCAGTAGAACGAATAATTGAGTTTGTTGCAAAATTTGTTACTTCATTTGAAGAGCCTGGAGATGAAGAAAGTGACGAAGAAAATTCTTTCATGCTGTTCCTATTTCGTTTTCTGCTCAAGGTGCAGTATTATTTCCCAAGTTTTTGTATGCCGAAACAGCATGGAATTTAACTGCTATTTCATTTTACTTGCTAAAATCTGGTTGATAATGGCTTTCCTCCCAGTATGTCATTTATCTATATGAAAAGGCGTTTGCATTGTAAAAGAAAATCTAATGCAAAATCACCATCTGTCCTTTGAGCACTTTGGATACTGAAACTTGGTTTGTTGTCCAAGAAAGTCTTTTTTTTAAACTCTGCTGTGATAAAAACTAACCTTGAATTGACCACTTTTTTATGGTGTTTTGCAAATTTATTTTGTCTTTTTTTAAAGTCGAGCATGCAAAATCAAAATTGCTGCTTTTGAGATGGTGGGGCTATTCTTGTACTCTCCTCCCCCCAAAACGGGCATACGCACATGCGCACGCACACAGTGTTATTCCCATTGAATTATTGTAACTCTGTTGAATTTTATCTTTGTTATATGTTTGCACTCAACTGCCATTAAAATATGAATGTTTGCTGTTTCCGGGCATTTTTGTAAAATAACTGCCATATTTAACAGCATAGCTGGAACTGCTGTTCAAAATAATGTGCATTTAGATACTCTGAAACAAGCAATAGTGTGTTTTTTTTAAACTCTTAATCCATCATAATGGATGTAGGTCTTGTGTTTTTTTAAAAGAAAGAATCACTTTTTGAGCTTTTCTTGAACTTGAATGATTTATCCAGTGCAAGACCAATGTCTTGATTTGAGTTAGGTGAAGTTCTCACAGATGCTGAGTAAACTTGTATGAACTGTGACAAAACTAATTCTTAAAGTATACAGTTTTAATGCAAACCGAAGCTTTTTGAATGTTTGACAAATTGACATTACGTTTCTTTCATTAAGTTTCAAGATTAGTTATGAATTCGATTTGGATGTAACTATGCTTTGGCCGGGATCATTGATTTTCATTTTTAACCTTCTGCTAACAGTCTCACAATGCCTGTAGCCACTCTGTTCGATTCCGTGCCTGCCAACTTATCAACAAACTTCTTGGCAGTATGTCAGAAAATGCACAGATTGATGACGAGCTATATGACCGTATCTATGAAGCCATGCTAGTGAGATTAAAGGACAAGTTTCCAAATGTGCGAATACAGGCTGTATTTGCCTTGTCCAGACTTCAAGACCCCACTGATGAAAATTGTCCAGTAATTGATGGTAAGTATTGGTATATATTCAGTCTATTTGTTTACTGTGAACACCGGCAGTTGAACTTTTAAAATCTGTATGCCATCATAAATATTGGATATTCAGTTTTTTAAAATTGTGAAATGAAGTTAAATAATGGTTTAAAGAGTTTTTTAAATATCCATGATGCAAGTTTTGTTTTTGCATGGCTTGGCTTTTAACCTAGATTATATGGAAATAGTGAAAACAAAGGTCCTACAGTTAGTTTAGCATTGTAAGGGGATATGATCATAACTGGGAGACCATTTCTGTATTTTTAGGTGGAAGAGGGAAGTTTGTATAACCTAGCAATCATTTAAAACTGTTATCTTTACGAATGTACATGTGCAATGCAGAAAGTTTCTTCTGCAAAATGTGCTACTTATATAAAGTAAATTGGCTTGAATTTTGCAGTCATTTGCAAAGTAAGGGCACTTGCTGCTGACCTCTAAGAAACTTGCTCACAAAGGTCTAGTAATCTCTGGTTGACATTTCCAATTTCCCAGCAGGAGTTTAAATTTTGGTGTCTTAGGATGTAGCATTGGCAATATGGGAAATTAAAAGCAGCTAACCTCTTAAATTTTTATTTAAACTTTTGTTCAACAAAGTATGTGTATGTGTGTGATGAGATGGAAACTAACAACAAAGCTGAACAAACATTTAAAAATAAATTGTTTTAACAATATTTTTTTTAACCATTATGGAAAAAAATGACACATATGGGTAACATTAGCTTCCTAGCACTACTAAGGGTATTTGGTGGTAACTATAATGTTAGCAAAGCCCATTTTCATCTAATTTACTTAGGGATAATTTCCTCAGGTTTTTGATATTGACGTTCTTGTCAACTCGGATCTCAAGTCTGAAAGCAGTCTCTGGGAATCTCTACAGTGCATCCTAAGAAAGATTGTATATTTACTGATGACAGATTCTGGATTTGTTATTATGCACATGTCCAAACTCCCAAAGTTGCTGTCATTTCAGTGGAGTGGTGAGATTTCCAAAGACTGACATTTTGATGTCATTTCCACAGTAAAATTTGGCCATCACTGGTGACTAGAAGTGGAAGTGTGTAATTTAGCTTTTTTTTTTACACCTTATTTAATGTAGTAAAGAGCTTGCTAAATTAAAAGTACCTGGTGATATTGAATAGTTAAAGTGCACTAATAGTAAACAATTTATTTTAGCATATTTGCACTTAATTGAATGCGATACCAATCCAGAGGTGAGACGAGCAGTATTGTCCTGTATAGGGCCATCAGCACAGACTCTTAGCAAGATAATTGGACGTACTATGGATGTTAAAGAGAATGTCAGAAAATTAGCCTATGAGGTGGGTGATAAAGTGTGTGCGAGAATATTTGTGCGTGAGAATATTTGTGCTGCCTGGTCCTCGTGTTGGATTCTACACCGTTCTCTTTCGCTCTACAGCCAAATTTAATAATGAAAGTTCCAACTTAACTTTATAGATTTGTAGAAAACATTTAATTGTTACATTAATTGTCCCAGGTTCCATTATAAGCTCCAACAGATAAAGTGTACCAAACCCATATTTTTAAGCCTAAATGATCCAAATGTTAGAGTTGTGAGGAAAATGAAAACATGGCACCTTCTGCTTTTTTGTTTGTTTATTTTTGTAATTTCCGTCCCGTGACTTTCTCTTTTACTACAGCCATTGCAATTTATTAGTTGATTATTAGGCCATAACCTGGCATATCCTTTCTATTTTAATATGCACAAAGTTTTGCCGTTTTTTTTTTAACATGGAGGTGAATTTGGTACAGTTTTAAAAGAAACCTTCAATATAGGCAGCTTCAACTTCCCTTCAAAGTACTTACTGCTTTAAAAGAAGGGCAAATTTTAGTATTGTCCATCAAACCAATTTTGCCACAAATACATTATCTTTACTGCAGCAACTTGCCAAAATTCCTTCAATAGCACTTTTCAAACCCATGGTCTTTTAACATCGAGAAAAACAAAGACATCAGGCATAGACGCGCCATCACCTGGAAGTTATTGTCCAAGTCTGATGCCACGTCAGTTTGAAAACATTGCTGCACTTTCTCTTCAAAACATTGTAACATTCTCTAAAAGCACTGTAGAGGTAGGTCTGCTATAACATGTGTTACAGTAATCCGAATTGGCTGTTACATGATCGATGAATAGTGGATGCTGTTTGGATAATGCGAGCTTTCTGCTGTATTGGTATAGCAATTTCCCTATAATGCGATTTTCTATGGCAGTTTCCTATAGCGTGAGGTCACGCAAGAGCGCAACTATTGCGTTATAGAAGAACTACCTGTACTTGTATCTAAAACATAGGGATTATAGAAGCTCAAAAGGGCATCTCACCAGCATCTTTCTCAATAAAAATTCTTTCATGGAACATGGACTTTGCTGGCTAGGCGGGTATTTGTTGCCCATCCCTAATTGCTTTCATGGAGGTAGTGCTAAGCTGGTTTCTTTCACTGCTGCAGTCCATGTGGTGTAGGTGCACCCGCAGTGCTATTAGGATGGGAGTTCCAGGATTTTAAAACAGAGGCAGTGAAGGAGTTGTGATATAGTTCCAAGTCACGATGATCTGAAGCTTGATATCAAGTCTATAGATAGTGGTGTCCCCATGTATCGGCCATCCTTGTCCTTCTAAGTGACAGATGTCGCAGGCTTGAAGGTACTGCTGAAAGAGGTTTGTTCTCTCGGGCGGCTGAGGGATGGGCATTAACTTCTAACCTTGCCAATGATAACCATATTCCATGAATAAGTCTATGAAAACCCCTCGTTTTCAAAGGAAACATCAGATGCGATGTTGTCTCCAATGTATCTCTCAGTAACTGAATGTTGGTTAGCTTATATGGCTCGACAGGCTAAAGTCAGAAATGCATTTTTGAGCCCTATACCAGCTATGGTAAATCATGGAAGCCTTCCTACCTTATCCCCTGTTTTATGGAGTGGTTACCCTCAAGCTATACATAACCAGCTGGAGGCAGAGAAATGTTTATGGTCTCAAATTAATCTGTTTGCTGATTTGAATGATGCAGTATTCCTATTGATTTGTAAATAATGCTGAAGAATGAAAAACCACATTTTTTTTGCATTGAAATATAATATTTTAAATGTGCATCACATCTTCCCATACCCCACTATTGACAACTGCACTTAAGGTCCCTAGGCCCCAAACTCAGGAGTTCTATCTCTAAATGCCTCTGCCCTTCCATCTCCCTCTCCTTTTAAGGCCTTCCTTGAAAATAATTTGTTTGCTTACTGTTCTTAATAAGTCCTTTTAACTCTTTGTTGATTTTTAAAATTAAAGTTTTGGAATGTTAAAGAGCAATTTAGTTTGTTGATTAAAATCAACAGGAAGTAGATTTTTATCTCTTAGCAATGAAGTTTATATTTTTAGAATTTACATCATGCAATTTCTGAGAATTCTAACATTAAGGTGATATTTAAACTTGGCAGGTGATTCAGCAAATTTATCCATAATGTGTCCATTTAGGTTTTAGCGGAAAAGATACACATAAAAGCGTTTTCCATTGCACAGAGGGTAAAACTTCTTACGCAAGGCTTGGCTGACCGTTCAGGTAAGTTATATACATGTAACATGGCTAATAACAGAGTTGATTTCAAAGATTCCAAAATTTTAAAGTGTTTAGCTGTGCAAACTTTGGATCAGAGTTCATTGTATTTTATGACTTGCTAAGCAAAAGTTGCAAGCCAAAGTTTATGGCATCCCAATAGAAGTGAAAATATTGACATTAAGGTGGCAAACTATTTTTGCCTTGGCCCCATAGTTTATATTTTCTTTCTTTGTAGGATCTGTCATATCCCAAATCAGGAAAATGGTGCAGCTGAAGTTGTTGTACCTTCATACATTCCAGCAAATATTTTGTAGTGAGAAGGAAGGCTGGTTTACTTGCATTGCATTATTGATTGTTTTCCTCAATCAGCATGTAGTTATTGATAAGATGCAATCTATAATCCTTACCTTTAGAATTGGCCATTTTGTGAAATACGGCTGTGTCATTGCACTACACACTTTTCTCCATTTTTCTTGCTGCAATGTCGCACATCACCTCCAGCAAATTTCCCACAGGTGTGGCAGCAATTCATAGAACAGGTAGAAAACTGTTCAACTTATGCCAACTTCAATACAAAACCAAAACCATTCCAACCTCCGTCACAGAGGATCAGATTACAGCTAACCCTTGTGTATCCATTCATTCAAAATGACCTCCAACTCATTGCTGGCTCCTTCTCTGAAGTATTCAAGGAAATGGACCTTTCCTTGAACACCAGAAAATTGACATCATCTTCCAAGCAGTAGATGGAAACAAAACTCTTGTATATTTCAATAAACAGCTTACATTTATCAAGTGCCTTTCACAAAGGTGTTCCACTACTTGGTGTGCTTTGCTGGAATGGGGAGTTGTAAAGTCCGGATGTGCTGGAGTTTGGGGTTAGTGGGTGGATAGAAATACATTAAGAAATATGTTTCTCTGAGGAGGATTCAGAGCTGGGGGTATTTAGGGAAGAAATTCAAGACGAGGGTGTGGATACTAGTTATGAGTTGGAGGGGACAAGTAGCCAGAATTTGAAAAGAGAAATTTGATCAGTTTAGAGGCTGGAGGGAATTACAATGAAAAGATAGCATGAGGCACTAGAAGTATTTCAATACAATAATGAACATTTTAAAGTGGAGTTTATAGGGGACCAGGATTAGTATAGATCAGGAAATGTTGACCAATTTAAATTTGAAGTTTTCTTACCATTGTGTATAAAATTGTTTTGTTTTATGGAATCAAGTCTTTTGGCTGGTGCTATTGTTTGGGCATTTCCACCGTTCTTTGCGACCAACCTCCTATCTTCTAACCTTGCAAAACGTGAATTTGAAACGGCAGTCTCCAACGTAACTCACTAGGTGCGTTCGTCCACCTCTGTACTTGCTGACCTATGTCAGGTCCTGATCCAGCAAAACTTTATGTTAAAATGGCTAGTCTCTGTGTTGTTGAGGTTGGAATGTACATTGAAGCATCCTGGTGCAACCAGAAGTCTTGATGAACAGACAAAAGTGAAAATTGCTTTAGAGTTTAAACCTCCAAATGGCTGATTCACTGGCTTGGAGCCACTCTGTGAATGTCTGCAGCTCTGAACCTTAGCGGAGAGCTAGACCAGATATGAGGGACTTGTCTGGATGCTTACCCAGAAAACATCTAATGTAGTCTAAAATTGTTTGATTCCACTACTAAATTGCTGACTGCTTATACACTCTCTATCTCGCCTACCCAATCAGAGTCGTGCCCGTGTAAAAGGTTAATAGAATGTGGCAAGGGGTATCGTGTTCCCCCTTTCCTTGTGCCAACTTTGGTAGATTTTCTGCATTTATCCTAAACTGCCTGTGCTGTCCGTTTCTGCTTTAGCTGGGGTCAGAATATGTGTCTGAAAACGGGTATTGTTGGGGTGTAATGCCACTAACCAGAAGATTCGGACCTTCCAGTTTGAAATTATTATAAGTGCTTTCCAATTCCTTTATTGTCTTGTTCATTCCTTTCTCTGTGTTGCCTCCAGCCCTACAATCCTCTGAAATCTCCGTGATTTTGCTGTTTTTTGCATCACCGATTCTTAATTGCTTCAACATTTCCAATCTCTGCACTCCTCATTAAGCCTATCTGGTGCCTCCTTAAGGTTTTTCTTAATATTTTCCTTTCTGGTGCTAATATCCTCTTGCATAGCTTGATGTCACATTCAACAGTCTTGAAGTGCGTAGGGACATTTTATAATTACAGAGGCTCAATGTAAAAGCAGGTTTGTTATTTTGTACCTTTGGAAATAAGCATTTTCTGGATATTTAGCCACTATTCATAAAGTTGATTTTTGGCAGCAGGTTGGCTTACCATGCATTTCCTGTGCAGAGTGACGTATAAGAGCTTCATGGTGGCTCAGTGGTTACTGCTGCTGCCTCACAGCGCCAGGAACCTGGGTTCGATTCCACCCTTGGGTGACTGTCTGGGTGGAGTTTGCATGTTTTCCCCTTGTCTGTGTGGGTTTCCTTCAGGTGCCCCGGTTTCCTCCCACAGTCCAAAGATGTGCAAGTTAGGTGGATTGGCTGAGGTAAATTGCCCCTTGGATGGTTAGTCATGGGAAATGCAGGGTTAAAGGGATAGGTCTGGGTGGGATACTCCTTTTGGAGGGTAGGTGTCAACTTGATGGACCGAATGGCCTGTTTCCACACTGTAGGGATTCTGATTCTATTGGGCGGCTCAGTGGTTAGCACTGCTGCCTCACAGTCCCAGGGACCCAGGTTCAATTCCAGCCTCGGTCAACTGTGTGGAGATTGTACATTCTCCCAGTGTCTGATGGGTTCCTTCCCGGTGCTCTGCTTTCCTCCCACCATCAAAGATGTTAAATTGCCCATATTGTCCATGGATGTGCAGACTAGAGGGTTTAACCATGGGAAATGCAGGTTTGCAGAGATAGGGTAGGGGCGTCTGGGTAGGATGTTGGCTGAGAGAGTCGGTGTGGACTCGATGGGTTGAATGGCCTGCTTCCACACTGTAGGGATTCTGTGATCTTCAATGTATATTTATCTTCACAAGTAATTGATTATTCAAATGATTGCGTATTGTTTAAAATATTATTTATTCTTTGTATTTTTAATTTTATAGATGCTGTGAAAGAAGTGGTACAGAAAAAGTTGTTGCCAGCTTGGCTTCGCACCATGGAGGGCAACGTTTTAGATTTGCTCCATCGTCTGGATGTGGAAAATTGTGTTACAGTGGCTGAATCTGCTCTTAACTCCTTGTTTGCCCAAACCCCTCTCGAGGACTTGGTTGAAAAGTTTCAAAATCTAAATCATGGGTGGGGCAGCCTTTTTGGTTTCATAGCTCTGGGGGAAAAATAAGTTATTTTGTACATGTTTGTTTAACGTTGGAGGGCTGTTATTTGTTGAGGAACAAAGGGATTTGGAAGTACAAATTCACAGACTACAAAATGCTGCAACCCATGTCAATAACAAAAGCAAACCAACCACTAGGGTTTATTTCATAGAGGATAAAATTTAGAAATAGAGAAGTTTTGTTAAGCTTGTATTGAAGCTTGACTGGAGCCTGCTTGAAGTCCTGTGTAAAGTTGTGGTTGCCATGTTTCTTTTTAAAAGAAAGGATATGGAAGCCCTTGAGAGGATTCAAATCTAACAGAGCTCTTTGAAACATTTGGTGCAGGGAGGAACAAAATTAATGACTATTAATATGAGAAAGGCACAAAAGGAAAACAGAAAATTTAGTAGAAACTACTTTGTCCAGAAAATGGTGAAAATGTGGATTTTATTATGACAAGATTCAGTTGATGTTTATCCCATAAATGAATTGAGGGGAAATAAGATAGGGAAGGGAACAGGGCATTCATTGATAAGAAAAAATGATAGGAGGCTCGAGTGTAAAAAGATGAGTTAAGCTGAGTGACCTGTATTTGTGCTGTATATTCTATGTAAAAACATGTGTAATTTGTTAAGGACTACTGTACTTGTTTCAAGGCTTCCTGATAATCCATAGCCTTTCCTGTCTGTATTTTATCGCTACTTTGTTACCAGGTTAAGCAATTCATTCACACACATTATGATTTTACTTGAACAGGGCATTTGTTTCTTAAACAAAATCTAAGTTCTGTCTTGCATTATGATTTAATCTGTAAGTGTGAAATGAAAATGAAAATTGTTATTGTTGCAGAGGACCATAGGCTGTGTTCTCATTAGAGAGAGGCATTTGGTGATGAGTTTAACCCGAGGGTCACCATGTCTCAGGTGAAATTGGGAAGGTGGAGCTTTTGTGGTGATGTCAGCCAGTAAGGGAATTGAATGTGCACTGTTGCTATCACTCTGCATCGCAAATTAGCTGTCCAGTCAACTGAGCTAACGGACCCCCAACATTTGTACAACTAGATGTAATTAATATGTGAAGCCAATAGCAGTGTAAAAATGTTTTCAAACCCGTTTGCCATTCTTATCAAAGATCTTTATTAATGATTTTAGATTGATGTTAGTAAATGTAAGCATATGTTATTTGGTACCTTTTTTTTTCATATTAATACCCAAGTAGTGAGGGGTCCTGTGATGCCGGTGGAACTGGCCTTTGAAAGAGAGATTAATTGGAGGTCCTCTTGGCCCAGTCGTTTAAATATTAAATATCTCAATAGTACTTTATTGATAGGCTACTCCTTAACAACCTCACCAAAAATATTTTGTGTGATCGTTTTTCTCTCCGCTCTGAAACCTTGGTGTATCTGGTAAGCCAAGCAGGCCATTAGCTCCTTGTGCTGTTCTGCAATGCGGTTAGATCATAGATGATATGTGGCTGAGTCTAATTTGGCCTGCCTTTGATCCATATCTCTCAATAGCCTTGCATGTTGAATTTTGTGTTGAAATTTCAAATTGACCTCTATCCTCATCTTTTTGGGGAGATCATTCCACCTTTCCATTCCTCCTGAAGCGAAAAAGTATTTCCTGATTTCTCCCTGAATTGTCTAATTTTGCTCATTTTAAATTTATGCTTTGATTTCCCAAAAAGAGGAGCTCAACTTTCTGCCACTACTCTATCAAGTTAAATTTTCCTAGATCATCCTTCAACCACAAACTTGGAAATACAAGTTATGTTTATGCAACTAGACCTCTTGATTTAACTTATTAAACCCCCATATAATTGTGCAAATCCGTGCTGTATCCCTGCCACGGCTAGAACTGAATTAAATATCATGATGAATGATATGCAAACTGACTTGTGTTTGCCCATGTTAACGGTTGAGACACTTTGTTACTGATTATTGTAAATTCATAAACCATGCCAAGTGATTAACTATATTCACCGACAGGAGGAGCTGTAACATGTGGACATGTAGTTAGAACATTATATTATCCTATTCCTGGCTAACACCCAGGAAAAGCAATTGCACAGTGCATTTGTCTGACTGCTGGTGTTTTGGGTTCTTTATGTCAACTGCCATGCCTATACCTATTCATCCTGAATTTTCAGTATACATCCTCCATATAATTTAGCCAGCATGACAAAGTAAGATTATCTGATGGAGGGTTGATAGCAATTTCATTTCTTGAGTGAGAAAGCTAGGGGTTCAACTTCTAGTCCTAGTTTCCTGCACGTGATTAAAACTGACACTTCAGTGCAGGGTTGATGGGGGGCATTGTCGATGTCTTTTGGATAGGCAATTTAAACTGAATCCCTATCTAATGCTCAAGTGAATGCAAAAATTGCATTGCACAATCCAAATTTCTCAGTATCTTGGCCAACATTCTGCCCTCAACCAACATTGCAAGCAAATTTATAAATTCACTGCTCAGTAATTTGCCAAGACATCTACATAGCACGTTCCAAACCTGCAATTGCTGCCATCTAGAAGAACAAGGGCAACAGACAATGGAAGCACTGCCACCTGCAAGTTTCCCTCCAACCTGCTCATCATTATGACTTGGAACTGTATTTCACAGTTGTTTCGTCAAAATCCTAGAACTCACTGATAGCACTGTGGGTCTTTTTACACTAAATGGACTGAGGGTGATTTAAGAAGTGGCTTGCCACTGTCTTGAGCAATTGGATGGGCAATAAATGCCACTTGCCATCGAAACCCATGTCGCTAGAACAAATGGAAAAAGAAATTACAATCCATGCTTTAGTTACTGAATTTTCTTAACAGCAATGATGTTCCTAAAAGAATTAGTTGTAAGTTGCATGAACATGTGATGTACTAACACTCTAATGGATGTTTTTTTAAATTCTGATTTCTTCAGTATAAGGCAATGATTTGTAACCTATATGATGCCATGTTTCAAGCTGCCTTATGAAAGTGTTGCCCTATCTTTCAGAAAGGTAATATCAGCAGAAAGTCTTACTTGTGAGAATGCTCTGTATTGGAGATGCCTCTGCAATTACATGAAATCAATGGAAGATGAAAGGGAAGAAGCCTTGGAAAAGCTTTTACCTGAAACAGCGGTTTATGCTGCATATCTCTTGAGGTACACCTCTTGAAAATTCTTATCCTTTTAAAATGTGGTGTTGTCAGTCTTTCAATACTTTTTCATAAGCCAAAATAGGTTATAATGTTTCTCATGTAATTTTCAGCTTTTTCCCGTGTCTGATCTGCTTTGTACTGCCATTTTCCTAACTGCATAGCTCTTGTATAATTACAGTTGTTAACATCAAAGAATTTTGCTTGGTTCATTTTGATAGAAAATAATGTACATTGAATATAAGTGAGATTTGGGTGTCCTTGACAGTGAATTTTTGCAATAATACTTGGCGGCAGCAATTAAAGTAAATCTGATGCTGATGTATTAAAAGTTTGAATTCAGCTTGAAATAAAAAAGTAATTCTGCTGGTTTATAATTAGGATTTTGTTTGGTGGAACTTGACCACTGTACAGTTGCCACATTGCGAAAGGATATTGTAGCTATTGAAAGGATAACAGACGAAAAGCAATAATTGAGAAGATGGAGGAATTGGATTATGAGAAATGTATAAATTAGGGTCATGTTTATTGCAATAGAGGTTAAAAAGTGATATGATTGCTGCCTATGATTCTAAAAGGGCAAGATAAGGTAGACTGATAGTTATTTCAACTTGTCCAGTGCAACAGAAACTGAGGACACAACCTGTACTTGAAAGGGGATAAACTAAAAACTAATTAGTGGAAGTGTTATTTCAATGAGTGAGTGGTTAATCTATGAGCAGGCCACTGCAGCAGACAGTGGGACAAGATAGAATTGATTTGTTCAGATGCAGTTATACTTTTATTGAGAAGAATAATATTTTGGCATACAGTGTGAACAAATAATTTGAAAAATCAAAGGTGTAGCAATCTTAGAGGAATAGGTGACTTGAATTAAGTATTTCCCTAAGCAATACAGCACTGGGAAATTTTACTTCCCTCATGTTTGTCTCTATTCTGGAGTATTTGACTGAGATTGACTGACTGTTTTGATTAGGAAGTGACACTATTGTTATGTCATATGACTTCCAGGACTGATACAGTGATTTAGATAAACCTTCATCTTCTAACAATTCATATCTGCAGACAATTTTATCGTTTCATCAATTGGGGGGAAGGTCAAGCTAAACTTTGCAGTTACCTTTAAAATGTTCTTCCTTCTGCAATTAGCTACCTGAAAAACCTTCCAATACTGAATGAGTCTCAGAGAGCTGACTTTGCGCAAATTGAAGATGTAATGAAGAAAGAATTCATATGCCAGCAACTGATCATCCTTGTTGGCTGTCTGGATACATCAGAAGAAGGTGGCAGGTAATTTCTGTTGTCATTTCTTCAAGTTTAACTGCACATATCACGTAATACTTACGTTGGAAATCTTGCTACATTGTAGATGCATTAGTCTCAGAAATAACTTCATATAACTCCTGTAACTATTAACGATGCAATCAAAGTTGGATGCGAGTCTGTGAACCGTTTTATTTATTGTAACAGTTTGTGTTTTATTTATTCTACTTCAACATCGGAAATAGAATAGAGCAAGAACTTAAAAGAATATGTATTTAATTGGTCCTAACAGCACACGTTGTAAAATTATCTGATGGTAACATCAAATGCTAATAATTGAACTTCATGTTAGGTGATTTTCTATATGGAATTTGGGTATAAAGCTGCTAGCTATGGATTAACTATTAACTAAATGACAGCATGGAAGAAGGCTATTTGCCCATCATGCCTATGCCAGTCTTTTGTAAAGCTATTCAATTAATTCCACTAGAATCATAGAATCCACAGAATCCCTACAGTGTGGAAACAGGCCATTTGGTCCAACAAGTCCACAATGACTGCCCGAAGAGCATCCCATCCAGACTCACCCCCCTACCCTATCCCTGTAACCCTGCATTTCCCATGGCCGATCCACCTAACCCGCACATCTTTGGACTATGGGAGGAAACTGGAGCACCCGGAGGAAACCCACGCAGACACACAGACACACACACACAGGGAGACTGTGCAAACAGTCGCCCGAGGCTGGAATCGAACCTGGGTCCCTGGTGCTGTGAGACAGCATTGCTAACCACTGAGCCACTGTACTCTTTCTCCACAGAAATGTGATTACTTTTCTTTAAATGTTTATCCTACCCCTGTTGAAAGTTATTGATGAGTCTGCCTTGTCTATCCTTTTCGAGCAGTGCTTCCCAGATCCCAAGTGTCAATGTATTTCTATATCCTCTAATTTCTGACCCATTTGTCACAGGAAACCATCCCCTCTTTATTCTCTCAAAACCTTGTTTCATAGTTTTGAATATCTCTATCAAATCTTCCTTTGTCCTTCTGTGCTTGAAGAATACTAGTTTTTTTTTTTCTAGCCTCCCCACTTAACAGAATTCATCTAAAATGTGCTGCCTACAATTGACCACATTGTTTCAGTTGGGAACTAAATAGCGCTTAGGTTTGGCATAACTGTCTTGTATTTTTATTCTATTCCTCTATTCATAAGATTCCCTTTTGCATTTCCAACAGTCTTCTCAACTTTATCTGCCTCCATCAAAGATTAGTATATATACATCCCCATATGTCTCTACCTGCACTTTCTTTAAAATTGAACCGTTTAGCTCATATTGCCTATCCTTTGAATTAAAATGTATCACTCCACATTTCTCAATTAAATTTGACCTGTTATATGCATATCTATTTCACCAATCAGTCTATACATATTCTTCAGAAGTCTTACTATTCTCTTCATTGTTCACAACATTTCAGAGCTTGTTATCATTGGCAGCCTTTGAAATTATACCCTGTACACCAGTGTCCATCTCATTAATATATGCTTATTAAAAACAACAATGGTTCAATCACTTACCCTGGTTGGCCGCATGATAACTCTTCTCTACTGCGATTAAATCCCCATTCATCAAAGATGTTGGCTGTTGGTCAGTCTCTCATCCATGTAGCTACTGCTCCTTTAATCCCACAGTCTTCAATTTTGCTAACATGTCAGTTATGTGATACTTCATCAAACATAAACAATCTGAAGTTATGACCTGTGGAGTTGCTTTGGGAGTGTTTCTTTTATTGCTCAAGTCTCATTGATGGAAAAAATGGAGAAGACTACCCACATTGGGGAGGTGGTCTTCATTTCAAACTTTTCTATTCTAATTCTATGGTCTAATTTATTAGAAAATGCCTGCTCTCAGTGTTGCAAGAAATTTTGATCTTGCCCAACACACCAAGTTCACTTATTGCATTGCTGATGGAACAATTGCTGTCCATCCAGAAGGAGGATGACCGAAGAATTCGACTGGTAGGAGTATGCTTCTGCTATGTTTTTAATTATGTCAAAAGTAATGCCTCATTTAATACAGCAAGCTTTACAATACATTTGCCTCAGCTTGTTTAAAACAAAATTCTCCTACACTTTTAGATCTATATGATTGATTTTATTTTGCCTTGGATATTTTGTGCGTTGTGAGACCATCTAGCATAATCATGTAATTTCAAACATTTTTGAAGACTAAAATCAGATGTCTCAGATGGCATTATTTTTGTCAAGAAGAAAATATTGGTAGCACCTGAAGGTGCAAATTTAACGCCTTTACCCGAGAACGATATTGATAGTAATTTGACATAGGTTCCAAGGAAGAAGTTAGAAACTGCATTATAGAAAGGTACTTAGAAAAGTTCAAAATAATCAGGCAGTCAAAATGTTTGTGGAAGAAAAGTCATGTTTAATCAGTTTATTGGAATTCTTTAAAGAAAGAACATGTTCTTTGGATGAAGGGGGTCCAAAAGATGAACCGTACTAAGATTTTCAGAACACGTTTGACAAGTTGTCATATAAATGGTTATTTGGCAAATAAAAGGTCATGGTGTAGGAGGTAACATATTGGCATGGATAGAAGAACAGTCAACAGGAAACAAAGTAAGCTTAAATGGATTACTTTCTGGTAGGCAATTAATGATGTGTCGTGGGGATCAGAGCTGCAGTTTCAGCATTTTACAATTTATTTAGATGACTTGGAGTAAAGAATCAAAGACACGGTTGCTAAATCTGTTGATGCAAAAGTAGGGAAGAAATTTGTTAAGAGGACATAAGGAGGCTACAAAAGCATATAAGTAGGTTAACTGAGTAGGAAGGATCTGGCAAATGGGGTGTATTGTGGGAAAATGTGAAGTTGTCCATTTTGGCAGACAGAATGGAAAAATTAAAAGCATATTTTGTAAATAGTGAGAAATTTGCAGTGTGTTGAAATAAGATATCTGGGTGTTCTAGTGCATGAAATACAAAACATTAGTGTGCAGATGTAAAAAGTTAATTAAGAAAGCTAATAGAATATTATTGCTTATTGCAAGAGAATTTAAAGATAAAGGTAGGGAGATCATGTTTCCCTTCTGCATCGGTGAGGCATCATCTGGAGTACTGTGTGTGTTTTTGATTTCATTATTTAAGGAAGGATATAAATATGGTGGAAGCTGTTCAGAGGTTTATCAGACTAATATCTGGAATGGGTTGTTGTCTTATGAGGAAAGGTTGGACAGACCAGGGTTGGATCTGCTGGAGTTTGGAAGAATAAGAGACAATTGATTAAAGCATACAAGATCCTGAGCTGTCTTTCCAGAGAATGTGAAAAGGATGTTTCCTTTTGTTGGAAATTCTAAATGCAGGGGTCACTGTTTTAAGGATAAGGAAATATTTTTCTGAGGATTGTGAGACTTTGAAACTCTGCTTTCTGAGGAAGAGAGTCTGAATATATTAAGGCAGAAATGGATTGATAAACAAAGGAGTGAAAGTTTATTGAATGTTGACAAGAATGTAAAGTTGCGGTTTTAATCAGATCAGATGTGATCTTATTAAATGATGGATCAAGTTCAAAAAACCCAGTGGCCTATACCTGCTCCTAATTTGTATGTTTGGATTGGCAAATAAGTCTCTCTGCCATCTACCCATCATGACATTATTTACTTGAAGATAATTAAACTTAATTCATGAGTACTGCAAGAAATATGGTCACTACAGTCAGTCTTGATTTATTCTAATCTACTGTTTGATAGGGGCATCACAGGATTGTGGAATTTGCTGGCTACTGTGGGGTTGTGGCATTGACCAACAAATTTCAGATCCCAGTCAGTGCCTGCACATGTTATGTTAATGTTGCCATTTCATACATCCGTCATCCTGGAGAG